AGCTGAACCACGGGCTGGCCCGATTGCATCTACAATTCATAGAAATTTCAAACGATGCGTAAACGAAAACGGAAAATACACAGCAGCAGCGGAGGGTAAGGCGGAAGAGGGGGCAGGAGCCAGGAGGCAGGACGGCTCAAAACGTGGCAAACTCTTGGTCATCTTTTCACTCTGGAGTCCGGGGTCAAAGTAAACGAAATTGTTCAACGCATTGCAATGGCAACTTCTGGCCAAGGACCAAAAATTGCGTTTTTGAAATGCATACGCAAGACAGAGAACGACTGAGAGAGGTATAGCGGGAGAGTGGGAGACAGAGAGAGAGAGAGAGAGGGAGAGGGAGAGAGGGAGAGGGAGAGAGGGAGCGAGTGTAGGAGGCTAAGAGTTAGTTTGGGTCAGGCAGCTAGCAAATCCGACTTTGGTTGATGATGAGTGTCGTTATCGCTTTTGTGGAGCTTCGTTTTTGTCATAGCTCTCTGCGAGTGGGCGACTTTGGGGTCTGGTGAGCTTGGACTGGGCAAGGTGGCTTACGAGTATTCCAACTGTAACTTGAATTTACATTTCGATATGTGGCTAGGCTCGGCGCCGGGCACAGCAGAAGCAGTAGCAGCAGCAGCAACAGCAGCAGTTGCACACAAAACAATCAAGAAAAGCAATTGGTGCAGCTTTCGCCCAGGCTCTCTGCCGGAAAAGCGTCGCAGCCAACGGCGACGACGCAGTCGTAGTTTTAGTCGGACGATGATGTAGCTGCACGGATTGATTTACGTTCGAAAAGATTTCTCAAGTGCGACAGTGTTTGCATAGCACAGTTATACAAACAGCTCACAGTGTTGCCACCCTGTTCCGTTCCATTCCCTTCCATTCCATGACTGCACATTTTTCTATATGTTTCTGCATTTTGACTGCTTGGCTTGCAGTTTGAAAGTATGAGAGAGAGAGAGAGAGAAAGAGAGAACGGGATACCGAGAGAGCAGCCAACGACTGAGATTTATCAAAAGGTAATTTATATATGTGGGTGCGTAATTTATATATAGATATACACCCAAAACAACACTCTCCACCGCCACGCACCCTCTCACCCCACACATGCTTTGGGCTTGTTTACGTTGCTGTCTGCTTGTTTCATGAGTTGCCTCCCGTTGCAGTTGCATTTGCAACTTACGCAACAATTTTAAGAGTATTTCGTTGAAAATAAATCGCCTGCCCAAGCATGACATACGACCAAAAAGCCCGTATGCATATTGTGTCTCCATGTTGGAATCGGAGTCGAAGCCAAAGGCTGCATAGAAGACATGGAGACCAGCCCGGACACGATTTTGGATTCCAAACAAATGGCGAATAGCTAAATATATTTTAAAGATATGCTCTAATCAAAATGGCAGAGCATATGAAAATCGCTGTAGTTTTCGCACATGAGTCTAGAAAGTCAGAGTCTGAATGCAATTCCAAAGACCTTTTCCGTTTACTCAAATTTTGGTTGTCGCGTTTGGCAGCAAGGCAGTTTTTGGGGGTACGTGAAGCGAGCAACCAATACTGGATGTGTCAGCAGCAGATCCTGCAGGACCCACTCCGCGTAGGCAGACAGAGTGGGAAACATGTTGACCAGGAGCGCAAATGCATAAATTCAATTTTCGCATAGCAAAAGAAAGAAAAAGTTGCATAATTTAACGCTGTCTATAGACGCGGCGAGAAAGGACGATAGATGGACGTGTTGGGTGGATGTGCTCGCTGTTTGCCTGTATCAATGGCCAAAATGGGTGGGACGAAGGGCGCGACGATATGATGTAAAAAATTGCAAATCGAATCGAGCAGCCAAACGAACGACATTGCCACCAATGAATGAAGGTGTGGCAGTTGTGGGGCAGGGTCAACAGGCGAACCAGGCGAACCGGCTGGTCTGCATACCAAAACGTCAAGAGCACTCGCACGACAGTTACTCGCCTAAGCCCCCGGCCCCGTCCCCGCCAACAGACGCCTCCTGCCCTATCAAACAATTCGCTGAGTTTGAGCCCAGGACCCGCAGTCGAACGCAGGCAGGGCAATGGCCACGGTATAAACATTGTTGACATTTGCCAAACCTACTTTAATCACTTTTTAACCCCATTTGATACAGTGTCAACATGCATGGGGCGGCGACTCATAAAATGGACAGTCGACAGTCGCCAGAGTCGCGCCCCGCCCTCAGTCTGTTGTCCGATACGGCAGGACCTGAATGCAACGCACAAATAAAAGCGGAAAAACTGCGCCGAGTGACAAAAAATGCCAATGACAAACGTCGAAAAAGCAAAAAAGAGCAAAAAAATATATATATCCAACAAAAATGGGAGCGCAACAGCAACAGCAAAGGACATTCTGGCCAACGTTTGTCCTGACCCCCCACCCCGTTTGACCCCCTTCTGTAACCCGTGCCCTCTGCCTGGCGCCTGGCGCATGGTCAACGAGCCGAGCTGCCAAAGCAATTGATTTACTGCACTTTGTTTGCCAAAAATTAATTGAGTTGATGACAAGTGCAATTGATTTATGCGGGACTCAAATGAGTGTGGACAAACGCATGGCTGAACGGACGGTCGGATAGATAAAAAGGATGAGCGCTGGATGGGCTGGCAGCAGCAGCGGCAGCGGCAGCGGTAGCGGAAAGAAGCTTAAATGGATGGATGAGCAAAGGGCACTAATATGCGGGCCACTGCTTCCAGTCGAATTTTCCAAGACAAAAAATCAACAACAAATTATCAACCTCAAAGTATGCTATAGCACATTCCAGGAGTCTGCACCAGTCGAAAAATATTTGCTTAGAAATGATCGATCGATATCGGTGAGTGCCTATCGATAACCCAGCTTTTGTTAGCTTTTTAATTTCCCACATTGTTTTCCGACACTGAGCTCGCTATTAATATTATATTGTGCCCATCGATAACTAATCTTTGTTGTTTTCTTAAGTTTCACAATGTTTTCCAGCACTGACTCTATGATCGATATACTATTGTGCCTATCGATAACACGTCCTATACTGATTTCTTCATATTCCACATTTGCTTTCCAGCACTGACTTAACAATCAATACACGATTGTGCCTATCGATAACACATCCTTTGTTACCCTATCACATTCCACGGCGATTTCGAGCACTGATTCGGTCACTCTTTGAGTTGCCATCGAAACGCGTTATACACGGACCGGGTTCGAGCGCTTCGCACTACGACAGGTGTCAAAGGAAACGCATGGAAAAATGCTACCTGAGTGGGCCCCCATCCATGGAGCCATGTTCTGTCACGGAAGCGTGCCGCGCACACATGTCAGGCCGTTCTCTCTGGCCAGCTGGCTGGTTGGATGGTTTGCCGGTTGGCCGTTTGGCCGCTTGGCTGGCGCTGGTTTAGGCCAAAAACGAGCAACGCAACGGAAATAAGCGCCAAGCGGATGCCGACAAACGAAGCAAATGATTCATTTCCGATGATGCGACAGTGTTGCGCGCCCGCGTTGTTCGCCCCAACACCCCCGACTTCCCACCGGAGAGTGCGCCTTGTCATCGTCGAGGACAGCCACCAAAAATTTGCATGAAATGCAAAATCAAACGGGTCGCGGGCAACACAGAGCTCACCTAGAGGCTGAGCGGAAGCAGTGGCAGATGATGGTCAAGGGAGGAGTATGTGTATGTGTCTGTGCGTCTGTGTGTGTGGCAGCAAGGCGTCGCTGCCTGGCATCACGCGTCACGTTTCACATGCTCCATGCAAGTTGACGGGCGAATGTTGCCACTGCCGTTGCCATATTTTATGAGTCCGGTCTGCGGCGCAGCGTGTGTTATTGATATGCTAACGGTAAATGTCATTGGGTGGCAAATGGGGGCGGTGGGCAGGGGCAGTTCGACGGCGGGGGAGCTCTGCATTTGACCGCTGTTGTGCCCTGCCCTGCGGAAGTGGTTAAACCGAGCCATAGGCCAGCTCCAGCTCTGACCGGAGCGACACATGTCGCGGGCAAACGTGTGAAATTTTAAGCCAAATTTTGTACTGGGCGCGCCCCATTTATAATGCGGCCAGCCCCTGGATACATGTGGCAGACAACATATTGGAAATCAAAATGTTGACAAGCAGCAGGCAACATTTTTCAATTAAGCTGACAACAACAACAACAACATTAACAACCTGAAATCGTCTATGTGTTACGTGGAATGTTATCTGGCATGCAGGCAGGGTGAATCCAAAACAAAAACAACACGTCAAAGACTGAAGCCAGGCTGCTTTTTATAGCCAACGGCCAAAAAATGTCTTACCGAAAGAGATTTAATGTCAATTTTCTGTAAATAAACGATGTTTATTTTGGATTTATTCCGAACCGAACCGTTAAAATGAAGAGGCTCAGGTTCTTCTTCATATTCATTCATTTCCATTGAAAGCAAAGTGAGAGCTCTTGAAATACGTAAAAATGTTGACTTCTTCCTTCGAAGCTTAAACAACTTTAAGGCGGTTCGGTTTGGTTCCGTTTGCTTTTAGGTTCGATTCTTAAGCCCAGTTTTGCATATCTCTAAACCAAAATTTTGGTTTAAATCTGTGCTTAGATACTTGCACTATTTAAATGAAATAATTCAATTTACAACAAGCTCGGATGTTTGATTTAGGGTTCGATTCATGGTTACAAATAAACTGGAATTTTAGGTTCGAGCTGATTTGGTTCAATTCGGCTTCCAGCCGTGGTTCTCTGTATCCTGCAAGTTGGACTTATTTCTCATTTGAACTATATCTTGTTGGATCGAATTACTTTGTAGTAAGAAACGGGCAATATCTTAACCATCTCCATATTAAATCGGTCTACTCTATCTAGTGATCCACATAGCCGACAGGAAAAATCAGTCTAAAAATATCTTTTTTCATTTATTATTTCTTATAGTTCATAAATGATACATCCATAACATTCACATGTAACTCAGAATTTATAAGAGCTTAAGTAGGTAACTTTTTGAAATGAAATCAAATGCGAATAGCAACAAGTCTAAATATAAACAAATACTCATATTGTCTAGCACAATAGAACATTTTAATATCATTATGCCAGAAATTAATAAAACACTCGACTTAATTTTGCAATTAGAAGATTCTGAAAGTGTGTTGGGGTTGGTGGGAGAGATGTGTTGATAGAGATTAGTTAAGGTCTATGTGTTATGAATAATATAAATACTCAGAATGTTGTCCACGTATTTTGAGGGCAATGCTTCAGCAGCGATAAGCAGCTGGATTCCTATCTGTTCCCCACTCTATATAAACATATATGCATATATATATTTTTTAATATATATATATATATGGATATATTAATTAGTCCCATTCGGATTAGGTTGTTATACTCTATATATATATATATATATATATATATTTATATATATAATGATGCCGTCTCCTGATCCGTGTGGCCCAGGACTGCTTGAGTTGCCAATTCGGCTCGCCCGGCAGCATTCACTGGCAATTGCCCACAACTGAACTGGAATCCTGGAGAGCTGTGCACAGCTGCCAGTGATTGCGCAGGTGGGATTGTTAAGGGGCCTTCTGTGAATAACTGTACTGACTGTATATTCATAATCATCGTGGGCATCTATTCTAAACAACGCTCGCCAGGACGACGGTGATGTCATCGGGCTTGCCGCCAGGCGCATCGATGTTGTGGCGTCTGGCATTCTGGGTGAATGGCGACTCGTGGTTGGGATTGAAGCTGAGCGAACGGGCCATCAGAGCCACCGAATTGGCAAACATCTGTAGCTTGACGGGATCTGTGACACCGGAGGCATGGGTGAGCACCTGCAGCAGCAGGTCTTCGGACACATTGTCGTAGACGCCATCGGTGGCCAATATGAGTATATCCCCAATTTGCATATCAAACTCCAGCAGTGCGGCACACTCCGGCCCATCGGTCAGTACATTGAGGCCTTGTCCGGGTGGCGGTACGGCCAGCTGGTAGGGCGTATTGAAATGATGCTGCTGTTCCAAGGAGCGGCAGACAATGGCACCGTTGCGTATGACCAGAAGGCCACTGTCTCCAATGTTCGCCGCATAGAGTATGCCGCTGTCGCGGTGCAGGGTAAGCACACAGGCGGTGCAGCTGCCCAGGATCGGTTGCTTCTGCTCCAGTAGATTGCAGTAGGCGCGTGCAAGTAGCTGCTCGGGTCTCGTCGACTCAAAGTCAGCGCTGTGGGCCAGACGTTCACAGGAGCGCATCAGGAAACGGCTGAACTGGCCCGGATCGATGCCGTAGACACGCCAGCCGCCAACGCCATCGGCCACGCCCAATGCGTCCGCCTTGGATGTGGAGGTCCTAAACCAAGCGTCCTCGCCAAACTGTCCTCGCGCAAAGTCTGGATACATGCCGATGTCTTTGGGAAAGCCACATACCACACTAATCAGTCGTATCTGCTGTGAGCTCGACGGTATCGTCGACGTGCCCAATTCTGATGCGGATGGCGCCGGCGATATTGGCTCATTGGCGGACGGTATTACCTGTGCCTTCAGGCTCATCAGGCTACTATATAGCTGGCTCCCGGTACTCGCGGCCAGGGAACCGGCCATTGAGGCCACCTCCGATAGGGAGTGGTAACTGCTGTTCATCGTCCGTTGAATGTTGCGTCTGGCATTATCTAAATATTCATTCATGTTTCTCACAATTCGACGATCAACGAAACAATGACGGCGTATATATGTGTGTGCGTATATATATCTTGTTGCGAAAAAATATTTACCTAGGAGAAGAGACACATAAATACGAAAACCAGACACACGAAAAGAAAAAGAAATTAAAAAGGATTTCCAATATTTGTTATATGTGTAACTAACGAAAGCCGAAGTAAAACTAAATAAATCGCATGGTCTACATTGACATTTAGCACTGCATAGAGTCGACGCCTACTGAACTCACAGGATCTTTGGATAACCGCAGAGACCCGCGAAAGCAGAAGGATTTTTTAGCTACAGTAAAATCTCGCCTTGGCGAACAGCTAGGCGGATTGTCGGCCAACCAAGAGGGGTGTCACTAGTTTGCATTAAAAAAAAGGACTTCATATATGTACTTTATGGTAGGTGATATATCGTATTTTAATATTAATACCCTGAACATATTTAACGGCATAAAAAAGTTTGTCTCCCTCCTCAATTACTGAGTTTATTTATATGCTCAGTTTAATAATACTTTAAAATATTCATGGCCCAAATCTGAAGGCAATATGTGGTTTCATCGATTTAAAGGAGAAAACAACCTATAGATTGTGGCATATTGTAATTGCATTTTGCCATGTGCCTGCCGCACACACACACACACACATACACTCAGTGTGTTTGCCAAACAAAAACAGTTGCCTACTTACAGCACAGCGCAGACAACCACTCAAATCTGGCAGTCAATCAGTCAGTTACCCCGAATCCATCTATAGCTGAGACTCCTCTGGCTGGCTGGTGGGCTGGCTGGCTGGTATGTGTATATCTGTTTGTCGCTCTATTTGCTTCAACACCCACTGCAAATTAAATTCATTAGTCAACTTCCGGTTTCACAAACACACATGAAGGCAACGAACGCTTGAAGCCGTTGCCATGTGTTGCCTGCCTCAGCTGACTGCCTGTCAATTCAGACGGATTTGAAGTCAACTCAATTTGAAATCAATAGTGTGTGAATAATCCTTTCACACCGACGTGCCTCAATACACACACACACATCGAGAGACGCACACACACACACACACAAACACCCTGAATTTGGAGTTATCTCTAGCTGGGCTCTGGGTCTCTGCAGCTGCAACTGCATCTGCTGCAGGTTTGTCAGCTGGCTGGCTGGCTGCCTGGCTCTGTACTTGAAAACATTTTTGCATTGATTGCACTTCATATCGCTCATTCATTCATTCATTCATTCGTGCAGTCGCACAGGCCGTTTTATTCATGGCCTGCCATTGGCATATGGTGCCTCATTTTGGGGCACATGCCACATGGCAACCAAATATGGTAGCTGGCTGCCAGCCATTAAGCCGACGACTCCACTGCCGCATTACCAAAGTATTTAAGCAATTCAATGGCATTTTGACAGCAGTCGCCAACAGTCAGGCACACCCCTGCACCCATCCGCCCCCATCCGTCTACCCACCCCTAGCCCGCTGCATTTTTCAGCTGCACTTGAGCCCCACGTCGAGTGGCAAGCAATGAGCTATGCATGCAATTTAAGCGCCAACCAAGTGCCGCATAGCATAGCCATGGCCGAATGCAACTGCATTTGTTTGCTGGTGTCATCCCATCCTCTGTACCATACCCCACCTTATACCACACCCCCTTATACCACACTACCCGCTACAAAAAATACCAAAAAAAAAAATGGATTGCAGGAGGAGCTGCACGAGGAGCAGTGCCAACGGCTGCTACTGCTGCTGCGGCTATCATTGCTGCGCGCAGTTAAGTTGCCTCAGGCTCCTATTAAGGTCGTCGTATGGCTATTAAATAGGCGTCGCAGAGTGTGCTAGGTGGAAGGAGCGGGTGGCTGATGCATACATGCCTGCCTCACCTCCATGGCCACTTGGTCTGTTTGTGTCTGTAATTGTGCATAATTGAGTTGAATTTGGCTGCCACTTGGACGGGTTATAAGAATGATGAGGCAGGGGGGAGCGTTACGAATGGAATGGTCGGATACGGAAACGGCTGCTGGGGATGCGTTATGCATTGTATGGCGCCTGCAGTATCAATATAAACATATAGCGGCCTACAGGAATTCAAGAGGGGTTTCCTATCTGCTGATAATAATCGATTTTTTTTTCATTTTAAAGAGACAGCGAGAGAGAGAGAGAGACAAACGTTTAAGAACGCGTGCGAGCCGGAAAATACGAAATGTTCCTTGAAAAAAAGAAAGATATTTATAGAGGTTTCTTGAAAAATAGAGAAGAATTACAAACTAAAAAGGGAGAAATCAAAAAATTGATAAAAACGGTGCTTTTTAACATGAACGGTAAATGAAGATAAAAACTATGAATGATGATTACGAGTGCTCGATGAAAGTTGTTTGAAAGTGAGCAATACCAACTCAAATAGGAACTTCAATGGGCAGAGCTCAAGGTAGTCAAAAGATGGCAATGCCGATGCTTAGCTCGACTCGTTTAAGATTTGAATATTTGATTGACGGTTGTTGTGGCAAATGCCACAAATAGCTGTAGCTCCAGTCGAGCCGAGGCAATGCAGCAAATGCACACTCTTTGGCATTGCCGACATTCTCATGCACAACGAGACATTCAGAACATTCAGCCAAGCATTTCAATTAATTTCATTAGAATCGTACAATTAATGTACAGAAGTGGCCAGTCGGACGTGGTGCCTGCTCCCTTGGGCTGCCACTCAACGGTCAGACAAAGGCCGCACAAGCTGCCAACAAAAGACGCTCTGGGAGGGGCGGTGCGGGCGGAATAGGGGGACCACTCGACGTCCACTTGTGCGCATTTTTGGCCACAATTGTTGCTGACCAATGATCAATTTAATAGGAAAACAATATTGATAGCCCGGCCCAGAGAGGCAAACGCAGACGTAGTCGTCGTCGTCGTCGCCGTCGTAGACGTCGCCAGGGACCAAACCGGACAAGACACTTGACGTTCAAGTTGAAACGTTGAGCACTGGCGGAAGTGTTGCGGTTCGCCTTGGCCAAGGATTCGAGTTGGGGTTTCGGTCAGGGCCTGGGCTTGGGCTTGGGCTTCTGTTTGGGTTTGGGTTCAGGCATTCAGTGGCAACGGGCCTGGCCCTGTGCTTTGTTTGTTTGAAAACTTGCTAAACTTCTGGTGTTGTGTTGTAACTAAATTTTAGAACATATACACATACGTAAACACACACACTCACACACACACGGTCACATACAGTGGAACAGTTTAAACTGTAGCCAGTTGGCAACACTTTCACTTGTGCGATGTCTTTGGCTATTGCCGGGGCTCTGTTTGGTTTCTTGTGGTTTATTATTCACGCCTGAATTGATTGTAAATTAAAGTTTGCCAGGACCTGGGCGTAGGTCCTTAGGTCCACAGGTCCTTGCCATTCAGCGCTCGTTCGTTGTGCATTTTGAGGTCAGCCTATGGCAAAGTTTTCTTTTGTGTGCGAATTGGTTACTTGGGCCGCTTCAGCCGGGTCCGGCTGGCCACTTGTCGTGCCCTCGCCTTCACCCTCGTATCGCCTCGTCGCTTGTGTCCTCGTCCATTCTGGCAGGTCCTTGTCGCCAGTGTTGTCTGTCGCCTCGCTGCCCATATTAGAAGCCAAAAGGCATTCAAGTGCACATAAGACGATTACACATCATTTAACCGACGCACAGCAAAACTATGGGCCACGCCCGCCACCCCCCCAACGACAGACCGACCGCTCGACACTCCTTATCCTGCGCCTGTAATTGTTGCTCCTTGGCAAGGACTATGCGCTCCTTTGCTCGCCTTTATTGACTGCTGCATATTGATTATTGTTACAATGCCCTGCACCCTGCGCCCTGCTCTGCCAGGGACTTCATTTTGCTGCTCTTTTAACATGACTTCACTTGATTGCCGGCATTTGTCCTTCTTGTTTAAAATTCAATCGTTGTGTCCTGACAAACATACACAGCCATGTGAGAGTGTGTTTGCCAGAATTTTAAGACAAAATTAATTTGGTGTTAATGCAGTGAAAGTGTTTCAAACTTAAGGGCCAAGTTTACAGGCAATAGTTTTGTTGTTTGCAAAACTTTAAGATCTGAGCTTAAAGTTCACACATTTGATTTTGGTTTTATATATCACTTTGCTTTGATTGGATATAGATGCAATTGATAAATCATAAGATTCGCATGTGATAAATGCTAGTCTAGCTTCCTTAATGTTGAACTTCGAGTTCTATTAATTTTAAATAATTTTTCGGAAAGTTAACAGGATACTTATGTTGAACTTACTTGATTTTATGAGAATCGCATAGTGGGGTGATTTTTAAAAACACGTAATTGTGTGTACTTTTCAGAGAAGCGGGGAGACCTTTTAAATTTCAATTTTAATCTAGAGCTGATCGAACTTGAAATAATATAGAATATAAGAGATTTTCCTTCTTGCCTTAAGTTTTAAAATGATTTTTCGAAGTTGTCCTTCAGGCTGTCAAAAACAATAATGCTTATTCGGGGAATATCTGAGCCTCTTTATTGTTAAAAGTCACATTATAATCATATCAATCGCATTACCATTAATATGTCAAAACTATGAAAGGAACTTGTATGCTAGCTATTTATACTCCTTCCTGAGCTCGCTGTCCGTTCCCTTGGGCATAGATTTAGAGTTGAAGCCGTAGTTCGAGAGTGGGACATGAATGGATGACAGAATCCAACACGGTGACTCTACTATGCTCGTATAGTACTTACCTTTTAAGTCAGTGCTGTGTGTGAGCTCGGGTCAACTGCTTAGGCAAGAAACTTTTCCCACTTGGCCAAATTGTTCAAGTGGCCAAGAAGGGCAGTCGAAACTGGCAACTGGCAACTGGCCGCTGCCCAGGCATGCACTTGGCGATAGTTATCCACCCAACTGTTTCTCCCGCTGACGCATGCCAGCAACACGGTTGCATACTTTGTGGAGTGCAACCGGCAGCTAGAAGATGGTAGCTGGAAGCAGGCAGCTAGGCGTCAGGAGTCGGTAGTCGGGCGCTGGAAGCTTGGACATCAAAGTTGCCAACTTTCAGCTTGAGGAATTTTCGACAAGGCGACTTGAAACTTTTGTTACTTTGCAGGTTGTGAAGATACCTAAACAAAAACACCAAAACAAGAACAGCAGCAAAACAAAATAAAAAAAACACGTAAAAGTGCTCGTCGGGCGTGCACGACTAATAGATACCATGAACTTAGTGCCGAACTGGCCTCTCTCTATACACAAA